AAAGACAAACTTCCCAGCGTAAATGAATCCAGGAGGCAATAGAGAGATGGGACATACTTTAGGTCAGGGCTGGCCAGCCCATGGCGTGTATGCCATGGGAGGCCTCGTGTGTGGAATAGGGAAGGTCAGGGAGGGCGCAGGCAGCACAGCTGCAGATAGGATGGGGAATAAAAAATGGAGCAGCAGCTTGGGCAGGGGAACAGGATCAAAGTGGTACTCAGGAAGGGCGTAGCGCTTAACTTGTGGCACACCTGTCAAAAAGGTTGGCCTCAGCTGCTTTAGGTTAACTCATGCACTTAATTCTGCTCCTAAAATCTGGTTTGTGCCTTAAAACATTCAGAGGAACATTCAGAACCATATGTAGTGGGTTCTTTTCTGGCTGTACTAGCCTCAGGTAATAGAATAAGACAACTTGGAGTCTGTCTCTGATTCACCTGATGCTGTGGCTTTCTCTGAAAATCGAATCTTCTGTTACCATCCTGAGAACTCATTTAAGGTGATTATGAATTTATAGTAGCAATGGCCTTAGGTTCTTAATAATTACAAGAACAGATCTGATACTTTTTAGAGCATATTACAAGGTTTCTTATTTTAAATATAATATTTATAACAAAGTGGGTTCTGAGGCTCCCTAAATTGAACCTGAAATAACAGAGTAGTACCCATTTTTATTTTGATGCAATTAAGCATGTTTTGTCTTTGATTAATCTAGTAAAAATCAAAAATTAAAAAAGAGACCTAGTGTCTACACACATGTGTACTGGAACAACTGAGTATAAATGACATGCTTAATTCTTTCAGTTTGCTGTATATGACAAGTCCAGTGTGCTGGCAGTGTATTCATGCCTCTGAGACTTGTGGGAACACTTCCTTCCTGTCCTGATCACCATAGTCTAATAAAAAGATGGATGTACCAGCATGTTCCATGCTCAGTATAATGGAAGCTTCCAGGAGTATACTGATTGTTAGTGAGAGCTGGTCCCTTCAGTAAAAGTAAGGATATTTCTAGTAGAGATTAGTAAAAATTCTTTTTTTTTTAAATAGCATATGTACAAGGAAGCATCTTGACAATTTGCAGCTTAATGGGGAGATGTTTTAAAGATATTCAGCAAACATTACAGTATAAGTTTAACAGACTAGAATTATAACTATTCTTAAGATGAATTAATTAAATGTTGTCTGAAAGGAGAATTGCAGATGGCATCCTGGGCTAAAATAAAGCAAAAATAATATGGAAAGTTATATGCTAGAGAACACTAATAACACAGTAACAGACAAGGGTAGATGAGTTTGAAAAAAAATTGGGTATAATTTTCATGTAAAAAGTTAAAAGTAGCACTTTTGCTTTTAAGTGACACTGAGAGGCACCAAATATTTTTGTTTGCTGAGGTACAAGTTACATGAGTATTTATGGTGAAAATAAGTGCTTTGGAGCTCATTTAGAATGGTAATTCATTTGTAAAACAGGTTTTTGTTTACGTGTTGTGTGCAGTTTTTGCTTTTGAAGCTGTATCTGTTGTCATTACATACTTTTTTTTTAGTTATTATTTTAAAGTATTTTTTTGTTATAAAGACTAACTCAAGTCATATGTAAAAGAATGTGCTACGCAGTCCATCTTTGAACTGAATGAAGAGAACTAACAAATCAACCCTTGGCTTCTTTCTGTTTTGTGGGGTGGGGAAAGGGCAACATGTATATTTTAGTTTTGCTGACATAAGCATTTACAGTTAGCTTAACACAGATGAACATTCCCATGGAAATTAGTGGGGTTGTAGACACGTGAACACGGTCTGAACCAAAAATACAGATCTATCACCTCTCAGGAAGCATTGGTGTTACTAGCTATTTGGGTGAATATTTAGAATTTACACTTCTTTGCAGCAGTCTCCTGCCATTGCTCCTAATGATTACTGATTTAAAGGGGTAAAAGCTATTAATGAATACATTAATTACCTTCATTTTTAAGTTCTTATACTGCTATATGTAGCAGCGTAGAAGGATAATGTGTCACTTTCACAGATGTGTGCCCTTTTCCTATCCAAATAATGCACATGTGTGGAACAAGATATTCATTTGCTGAAAATGTGCTCCTGAAATGAATCTGAGCAGACTTCAGTAACATCTCTGCTGTGTTTTAATTTTTCTTTGGCACAAGAAGCGATAGAAACTGTAAAGACTCAAAAGTATGTCTAATAGAATATTTTATCATTCATTAAGAGTCTGAAAGCTCTTGTGTTTTTGTCCTGTCTTTTGGTATGACTGCACTGTCACAGTTGTTGGCTACAGCAGTGAATTAAGATGGACTATATTGGTAAAAAGTTGATAGTGTTGAGCAGTCTGTCTCTCAATATATAATATAATTTAATATGTAATTCTAACATATAATATACCCTATATAATATTTATATGCAATATATAGAATACATATATAAATATATTACTTTGTGTATAAAAAGCAGTATATATCATTCTGATAGAAAATAGAAAAGTAAAAAACTCCCGGGGCTATATAAAGGGGCCAAATAAACTTTCTTAGGCCACTTTGAGAATCTCAGTTTATGCAAATACATAAGAAGTTGCATGTGTGTGAGAGAGAAGATAATTATTCCATTTTTACTGACTATATATGCCCTGCTTCCACTGCCCCATTGGGTCTCAGTGGGCCTATGAATGAGACACCTTTACATACTTTGTTACATAGAATATGTACATATGAACTGTATATTTTTATAGTGTGTGTATGTAAATGTATGTTCAGTAAATGAAGATTTTAGAGTAGGCATATATGATTGAGAGTGTAGATAAAGATCCATTTCTGTACTATCTCATTTCAGGAACATAGACTATTCCTTTTTGCTATTTTTTTGAGCGTGGAGACAATCTTAAGAGTTTGCTTTTAATATTTCTGGTGATAGTCTTCTCTGAAGATGAGGGTTACTTTTTCCAAATGATGCTTTCTATTGGGTACAAAATTGGAACCAAGTGAAAGAAAACTGTAAAAATGACAGTATAATTCTGGTATGAAATGGTCCTTGCCTATACCACCATTTGATATGTAAATGCTGTTCCTTTTTAAATCAACTGGTATGGTCAAAAAAGAGTAAAAATGCTAATCAGAAGAAAAAAGACTTCTGTCTGTGGTTAATCAGAGCTAAGAAATTGTCCTCAAAGAAACAACCTAATTTAATAAACTGTAAAGATAATGGTCATGCTTGTCCACCTGCTTGCTATATGTCCTATGCCTGTCTTGTTTTTGCCATTCTCCCTTTTTTTTTCTGAAAGAAGGGTTTGCAAAGGATATAAATAGCATTGATGTTTTTTGCCTTGGCTATGTTATTTTATTGAAAAAAAATTGTGAGCAGCCATGTATACTGAAAACGATGCCTTTGGGGTGTTGTGGAATTCTGCATTTTTTCCCCTTCTCATAAGTTTAAATTTTCTCAAAGTGCAGTTTCACCAAAGAATGTTTTTGGGTTTTTTTTAAGTGTGCACCTGGCAAAGAAGGGAGAAATACTTGAGTGAAAAAAGCTTCAGTGGCAAATCATTATAGAAAAGTAAAAACTCTCAAGGCTATGTAAATAAGCCAGATAAATTGTTTTAAACCACTTTAGGAATTGTGACATATGCAAATGTATCAAATTTTGAAAATATGAAAAAGGAAAGCTAACAATGATTTGATATTACTCTAGATCTCCCAAGCTTCACATTTATTGTTGTAATATTTAGCTGGCCTAACACAATTGTATTGTTTAGCTTTCATCTCTGCAGGAGAGACCAGAGAAAGCCCCTAGTTTGAAGTTAGGGCTGACTTTCTTTTATTGTCTGGAAAAACAAGTGTCTCCTTTCCCTAAACATAATCATGAAAGACAGTTGTCTGTCTGTCTCTGTCCTTCCAAAAAGCCAAATTTATTAAATCCATCTAACTTTCCACAGTTAGCAGCATGTTATCAACTTGAAATGCCTAATCATATAAGACAAGTAGGCAATCAGAAATTTGCAAATAGTAAAGATTTTTTTTCCCTTTGGCTGGTATAAGGGATATAGCTGTAGATAGCATATCATAACCAGGTTATAGTTGGGATCCCAAGTAGCTGTTACAGAGTTGGGGAACTTTGGGTTGGGTGTTCTTAGACTGCTATAACCTTGTACCAGAGAAGGAGTCTGGTTCAGAATCATCACCGTATTTAACTTAGTGGCAGTTTTTAATTCTTTATGGAAAGCCTAATCATTTGGCTCGCAGAAACCAGGAGATCCCACAGCTTCTTGGTGAGCTTGCATTACTCTAAAAAAAATGCATAGCTTTAAAAGGTGTGGGTAGTCCCTTCTGTTCCTGTTTGTGCCTGTAGTTCTTCCATTTTGGCTTGTTGGATTTTTCCTGTTGTGAATAATTTCACAGGTGTCTAATCCATAGCAGTGTGTTTATCCAGTTGATTTTTCAGTAATTTAAAACATTTCCTTCTCATTTCATTTTGTAACTTTTCCATATACTGGTGAAGTTCATTTAAACTAATGAAGTACTAAAATTAAGGAAAACTTTTATTTTAATGTATTGATAAGCTGGAAAAAAAGTTTCTGTGGTTTTTGGAGCTTGTTCAGACTCGGCATCAATGAGTCCTTGTAACCAGGCTTCGTCCATACTATTGTAAGCCTCTTATGATCTGCGATCACAAACGATGCAAGCATTAGCTGCCATAACGAGAGAGCTGACCATGGATTGGGAATATAAAATTTACTGGGTTCAAAGATAAGTTATGAAGAGACTATATATGCAAATGTAGTATCAGCTTATGAAGCACACAGGCAAAGGAGGACAAAGATGATTTAGTCAACTTTTAAATACTCAGCCTGGGTTGCCCTGCTAAAAAAAAAGCATGGCTGTGCTTAAGTGAAATGGTAGACTTTCAGTAACCGTACCTTCCTAGTAGAATTTGATTCAGTCTTATGAAATTTTGCAGTTGAAACTAATTTTTCTTATGTGAGACCTCCTGGAATTTTACAGAGTTGTTCAACCACATCAACAGCAGTTATTTGACGAAGAAGAGTTGCCAGCAAGTGAGACGGAAGAGCAGCCGGGTCCATCCAAACGGAAACGCCAGCCAAGTATGTCCGAAACAATGCCACTGTACACACTATGTAAAGAGGATTTAGAGAGTATGGATAAAGAGGTGAGCTAACATAATTGTGCCAGGATTCTAATTTTATGGTCAAGTTGCTCAGTTATCTGTAACGGTATTTAATATTGTTAATTGATGTGTATGTTATCTGATTTTGCATGCAACTAGGTGATAGTGAAAGACAAGCTTCTGTAATATGAAACAGAACCATTTTTGGTCTGCTAAGTTTCTATCCAGCATGCCATTATGCAAACTTAACTGAAACCATGCTAAATACTTGTTTGTGCAAGTAGACTTATAAAACACCGCAGCAGAGGAAATTTAGATTGGCAGTTAGGAAGAACTTTGACTATGAGGATGGTCAGGCATTGGCAAAGGCTACCTAGAGAAGTTATAGAATCTTCATCCTCAGACATTTTCAAGAGGCATGTTCAGCAGACACTTGGCTGGAATGGTTTAGTCAGAGGTGAACCTACCTTGAGCAGGGGGCTGGACTAGATTCTCATAAGATCCCTTTTAGCCCTGCTTTCCTATGATTTTGTGGTATTGATATAATTTTGGTATAGAAATGCATGAAATCTGAAAGATGATACAGGCTAGCAGTGTAAATACTGTTGTCAACTTAATTGAAGTTCTATGTAGACCTGTAAAACACTGATATTTTTACTACTTATATTAATACATGCTCTTTTAGAATGACCCATAGCTTTTTCAACCTTTTATAATTTACATTAAATAATGCCTACCTAAAGGAGATGTGGCTGAAATAAAGGTATTATGTTTCAGGAAGAGTTGCATATATTTTGTTTCCTTAAATGTTAAGTAAGGGTAAAATTGATTCTAAAATTTGAGACCTCATTTGAACTAAGGATGGAAGTTGATAGTCTTTGGAAGGAGGGTGGGGAAAATGCTTTGTAAATGTTCCTTAAGATACTTACTTCAGAGACTTGTTGGAGGGAGAAGTGAGTTATAAATATTGACGACAGTTAATCTACGTTTTGTTAAGTGCTAGATTTACTTTGGCATCTAATTTCTGTTTAGATGTTACTGTACCTATTTTAGCTTGGGCTTAATTTCTTGAATTTGCATTTTTGTGTGTTTGTTGATTACTCTGTAGAACGGATATTCCTCAAAGTGTCATTTCATTAAGTTATTACATTAATTAGGAAATAAAATAACTACCATTACAGTTGCATATTGAATTTTCCAGGTAAGGATTTTGTTAGAATTTAAGGTGTCAATACTTGACCTAAAGATTGTAATTCATGAGAAGTGCTGAGAGAAACACTACTTCTGACTTAACATTTTTCACGTTCTTGTGTTTGTCTCACAAAGTGAGCCATAATCATACTGCATTAAGATAGCTTTTTTGCCATAGTAACTGGGACTTGTATTTTCAGTTCTGGTCATGGGGTCAGCTGATGACTTTCTAGAGATGGATGTCATTTTCCATGAAGCTTGGGCAGTAGTCTGTCACTAGTCTGTCAGTAACTAGGTCACTGTTTTACCTTCCAATCCAATATGTAAAATGAACCATTTCAGTGCATCTGATTTGTTTGTTGGTTCTTCCAAGGGATCAGTATCTTTTCATTTGTAGTACCGTAGCACCTAGGAACCCTCCTCGTGGACCCAAAATCCCATTGTCAAGGTACTGTATAGACCCGTAACAAAGACCATCCTTGTTTCAAAGAGCTTTTACATTCTTAATAAAAAAAAAAAAAAAAAGGCGGGGGGCAACCAAATAGATGCAAACGTATGGGGGCTTTTGAGGGAGGCAGCAAGGCATTGTTGATTTAATGCACAAAGCTACGGTCTCAGCATTATCAGCAGTTGGGTTGTTGCCATTTGTCACAGAAAAACAACATTTTTAAAAGGGTGGTTTTAAAAGAGGGTAAAATATAAGTTATTTCTGTGTTTATGGCAGCTCTTCCATTGTATGAAAAGCACAATGAAAGAGTATGAAGGTGCTTGTTTGAGTATTTAGCAAGTGAACATGGAAAATGCCAACCAGGGAATTGGCATCCTGATAGTGAAGGAGAGATGGCAGATCAGATGAGAATGGATCTTCAGGAACGTGAAAGTGAAGAAAAGTTTTGGGTTTTTTTTGGTTTTGTTTTTTTTTTGGTTTTTTATCCTTCAGATCGTTTAAGAAGGCAACTTCAAAATTAGGTCAGATGAGCAGGAAGAAATAAATGGTCACTTTGGATAGGCAAGTGCCAATATTTCCTTTAAATGACTGATCGTACATCAAATCACAATGAGCTGGTTATGCTCTTAAAAATAATGTGATTTGATGTATGATCAGAAACGTTTTAAGGAAACGTTGGCACTTACCTATCCAAAGTGGCCACTTATTTCTTCTTGTGTTACTTAGTCCTTCAAGCCCATAGTATTCATAATGGATTTTCTGGGTTCAGGGTGATTTGACTTTTTTTTTTATGTACAGTTCTTTTCTCCACATCAAATTGAATTTGGTGTTGAATTTGGAACTATGATTTTGTGAGGACTGCTGTAAAGGTATTGTAGTAGTTATTATGAACAATTTAAATTGATTATACTGATAGAATAATATAAGGGAAATTGCTGTATAATTTTCTATAATGATTCAAAGTCACTGGCTTAATGTCTGAAGGTTTTCAAGTGCCCTGAGATGACAGAAGTGCCTATAATTAACTCTGCCATGTTAAATTACGAAGTTGCAAGTGACAGACTAATTGAAAGTTTGAAACTTTAAAGTTTTTTCTTTTATGGATTTTGTTTGTTTAGTTCTGAAATAAAATGAATTCTAGTAGTCTAGATGGCTTTACAAGCAAGTTTTTTGCAATTTCCCCTTCAATGTCTTTGCTTACCTAACATTGCAGTCATGGCATTGAAATAAGAGTAATCAGCTAAAAATGATTATCAGGGTTTGAAAAACATTTTTTCTGTGCAATTCTTTAGATTTTGTTTGGTTTTTTTTCCATTTTTTTAAATTGTTTTTTAGATTTTATTTGTTGCTTCTGAAAGATCTCTGGCAGTAACAGAAGATGAATGCTATTAGAAAAATGTAAGAGATCTGTAAACATAACAATTCAAAACATTATAACATTAGTGTTATGGGAAAGAGAAGATACTAATTTCCAAAAAATATTTATCCCCT